CTACATGCTTGAAAGAGAGTAGAAAGAAGTACACACTTATCTAGTTCAACCCCCTTTCTTAGACCATGGTATAGTTATGTCAGCGCCATCAAACTTGCCAACAACCACCAAGCCCCCAGAAACCGCCGAGGACCATCCCCAACATGCACCCGACATCCATTTCGTGGCCTTGTACTTGTACATGGGTAATGACAATAAAGTTGAATCTTATCTAATCTGATCTAAAACTTCCATCACAAGATCCAGCATTTTTCAAAATTCTATTATGGTTAGGTGTCAACTCTCACAGCTCTTGGTTAAGGGAGAGCAAAACTGAAAAATGATATTAGAGCAGAACTCAAAGAGGAGTTGAACTTCAGCTGCTCTTGAAACAGAGCTGCACTTTACACCTTGACTACCCTCTCCATGTTGTCCCTGATTTCTTCTGTTTCAAAAAGAAAATACAGCCCTTCAAAATACAATCCAACAGTCAAATATGTTCACTACAAAACATATCTGCAATTTGCAGTTTCGTTGCATAGGAATGTTTTAAGAGACAGGGTGACAAGTAAGCTAAAATAGTAATTTGTAAGAGTGCAGTGATACACAGCTGTTAAACCCCTGTTCTGCCCCTTGTGTTTTAATGATGCTGTATTGACAATAGATTGACAATGTTTAACAAAGTCCAAAAAGCTGCAGGGTTGTGACACAGCTATGTGATATATACGATTTCAAATAAATGATCACAAAGAAGTTATCTTTTGTTTATGATTTCAGTGAGTTATGGTGCTGTGCTGATCATGTTTAATAGATTAGACTAGAAACATAAAACCCCGTATGACATAATTATTTATCTGGTGCAGTACCTGCATGATAAGGATTATGGTCAGACAGTTCTATTGTATCAACCATGGCTTAAACAGAGACACGGCTCTGCTACTTCAGGCAGTTACACTCTGGTTTGTATGCGAATGTGTTTTTGAGAACAAAGCGCCATCTAATGGTGACAGTGCAAATCAAGGAATAGCTGTTTAATGGATATGTTTACTATGGAATCTAGAGACTTTCTTATGCACCAGGAGAAGGGGGACTGTTGGAATCTAGCTGGAAACTGAAAGCCAGCTGAAAGGCATTCAGCTGAGAAGAGCAATTCTGACTGGCTGCATCTGTAAGTTTGCCTGCATGCTGGATCTGTCAGGGAGTGGTCAGTGAAGATCCCATGAGTGTGGAGGTGTGAACCCAATTAAAGAGTCAGTAGTCTGAGGCAGTAGAACTGTCCACTTCAGGGAGCTCAGGTGTGGGAGAAACAGAGTCAGACTGGAATGGTAAACAGTATCGAGGGATCAGGCAGGGAGGGCAAGGCAGGTTCTTCATGGATTTTCCTGTATTTGACTGCATTCTTCCATCCCTCATTTCTTACCAGTCTCCCTGTGCCTGCTGTTCAGAAGCACCCCCACAGCATGATGCTGCCACCACCATTTTTGACTCCAAGAAAACTGTCATATGCCTTTGGTCAAGAGTGGCTTCTGTCTTGCCCCTCTGTAATAAAGGCATGATTATGGATTGCTACAGAGATGGCTGTCTGTCCAGTAGGTTCTCCCATCTTTGCACAGAACATTTGGAGCTCTTTTAGTGACCATTGGGTTCTTTCTCACCTCCCTGATCAAGGTTCTTGGCCTAGATGTCCAGAAGGCAGACTCTCATAAGGGTCAGTGCCAAGGGTCTTCCATTTCAAAATTACTGAGGTCACTGTGGTCCTGGGAAATCATTTTATATCCTTCCCCTGATCTATTCCTTGCGACAGTGTAATTGTGGAGGTCTCCAGCTAGTTCCTTGGACTTCATGGCTTGGTCTTTGTCCTGACAATGCAATATAAACTATGGATGCTTACAGACCTAGATGTGTACCTTTCCAAACTATGTCCAATCAATTCAGTTTGCAATAGGTGCACTCCAGCTGAGTCCTAGACACATCTGAAGGAAAATTATAGCAAACAAAATGCACCTGACCAGAAATTGGAGTGACACAGCAAAGGGTCTGAATACTTTTGAGAGTAAGGCATTTCAGGTTTAGAATTTGAATACTTCACATCACTATGACTGCATGTCCACTACTTTGATATGATGGCACAATTTGGGATGACTGTGATTCAGTGGGTAGAGCAGTGTCTCCCAACCGGAGGTTCGAATCTCAGTGCCTGCAGTCCACATGTTGAAGTGTCCTAGGGCAAAACACTGAACTCCCAAGTTGCCCCCGATGGTTAGAGCCATCGGTTGAGTTAGTGCCACAGATGGCTGCCTCGGTTCTGTACCAGAAACAAATTCCTTGTGTGTAATGTCGTGGCTCGAGTGTGGTGCCAACTAAATTAATTCAGACAAACCATCCCAATTTACAAGATCATTTAATATTACAATTATTCTGAATATAGTAGTATTTAAACACATAATCGTGTAGGCAGGGAAACAGATAACAGAGATCAGAGAACAGAGACTCTCCTCCTGCAATGTGATGGATAAAGCATAAGAAGATTGTCAGAGTACCAGTCAGTCAAGCCATTTGATGTCGGTCCCGAGTCGGTTCCCCTGTCAACCCCCAGTCAGTCGTCGTTTCGCCCCGGCCCTCCGAGGCTGGGCTTGTGGTACACTGTTCACGGTAGCATGGTCATCCTCTCTCTCTCTTCTTCTGCTCTAACCCAGCCTTTATCTGCTCATACTCACACAGCCCTGCATGGCCGAACCCATGAAGACGCGGTCCCATGCCAGCTACCCACACACATCTTCTTCCTAGCATTGTCTAAACTGTCCAATACCTGAACCTCTGGGTCGCATTGACCTAGCGCACATTTCCTTTTTCTAAATCTGAACAGCACATGAACAGTTCACGTAAGGCTACAGCTACAATATATCCATTCCCTATCAGAGGAGGAAGTCACTCAGGATGTTGACCCATAGGCTAAACAAGGGGGACACAGCCGAAGATATTCCTGCTTGAGCAAGAGAAGAGAAACAGATCAAGCTTCCGTACACACTGAGCTCAGCCTTACATCCTTACACAGCTAACCCAAATAATATCTATATGAACTACATACTGTTCTATTACATATCACCTCTGGAGCCTTATTTTATTGCTAACCACTACAGTAACATACTTGGCCAAATAAAGGTCCTAGTAGTTGTTAAATGCATAAATACTGATCCTGTGCACAACTATATGCTCTTACAACGAGCCTGACCACAACAATAAATCTGTCCATGCAAATTCTCAGTCAATAAATTTACAAAGTAATGGAATTCCACTGCATATAAGAGATGTCTGGATCATCTTCAATTTTTAATAGTTAGATAATGGATTTGACTTCCCCTGTGTGTGCTGGAATTCCTGTTACTTTGTGTAATATCTGAATTATATTAGGAGCGAGTACAAGCACAACAAAAATCTGCAGGTGAAAGTACAAGAACATTCTGCACACTACCTAGTATCATTGTAACACCTTACTCTTGAAGGTGAAGCTGCATTTGAGCCTCAGACAAACTTTGGAGTGGGTTTTTGAATAAAACAAATGTTTGTCCCTCATTTTTTGCAATTCATTCATGTTCCAGGTGGAAAGATTCAGGGTCAATGTGGAGAGTAGGACAAGTGACAAAAACCACAATCTATTTTCATGTACACAGGTTACCCTATCAGTATTGTTTTAACACCAACTTAAAAATCCTGAACTATTCATTTAATATAGAAAGTCACTTTCGGCTTTTCCCGTTTAGGGGTCGCCACAGCGAATCATCACACTGATGACTCGCATGTTGTCATTTGGCACGTGTTTTACGCTGGATGCCCTTCCTGACGCAACCCTGATTCAAACCCGGGCTGCAGCGGCGAGAGCGCTGCGCCTTAACCATTAGCCTACCAAGGACAGCTGAACTATTCCTTTAATATACCCTTTCATTTTTTGCACATTTTACAAGTGCACTTTTTTCAATCTCATTATAAATTTACAACAGTAAAATCAGCAAAAAATAAAGGTGGGAATTCTTTCTGAAGTTACTGTACAGTATAGGGTTATAGATCACAGTGAATTCTGCTAAATTGATTGGTCAAAGCTACTGAGAAAATGTTGTAGGCTAATATTAAGCACATAGGAACAAGGCAGACTATTAACTTAGAGGATATGTTTCAGAGCGAGGTAAACTTTTCAGGTAGCTTAGAAAACAATGCCCTTTCCACCACACTGACTGTGTGGTGGAAAGGGCACAGGTTCCACTTTTTCTGGCCCCTAATAAATTATTCGCTCCTGACTGAAACAGGAGGGAATAATATGCCCCACCCAGATTAAGAACAAACAAACAAATCAGGATGGAGAAAAAGGGTCCCATCGATCTCTCAGTACTGTCTGTTTTCTTTAAATTCATGACTTAATATAATCACTCCGATGGCAGTGAGTCACTTCCTGCTCCAAGCGCCTTTAAATTTATTTTGTTTACAATGAATATGTTGGAGAACACACCTGCTGTCAAGCAGATTTGAGATAATGGATGTTGCGTTGGGACTTTCACAGAACCAGCAGGTCCAGGATCAGGTGGAATTGTCAACAAAGTTAATCGGCTAACCTGTTAATCCACGTAGGCCACCCATTTGCTATGCACTCAGTCCCATATTTGAACTTTGACCCTCAGCTCTGCTTTTTGGCTCCATCTGTAGGTGGTATACTTCACAGCCACATTCCCATATGTGGTCCTATTTATCTACCTGATTCGGGGTATCACTCTTCATGGTGCCATCAATGGTGTTAAATACATGTTCACACCCAAGGTAAGATTGTGTTAGAGAATTTGCAATAGGCACACAGACAAGGATAATTCTTTTAGATTGCTTGGTTGACTGTGTACTGGGGTTTGTTAACATTTTTTAATACAAAGCTATTGTGTATCATCCCAATATTTGAAAAGACAGTAAAGTAAGATTAATTTGTCTGAGAACCCCCTCAGAACTGTAAAAAAATAATGAATTTAAATAAAATATAAAATAAAAAAGTATTATGGATTCTTAAAAAGTAATGTTTTGTGTGTGTACATGTGTATGTGCATGCCTTCTTTTAGATGGAACAGCTTGCCAACCCTACTACATGGATCAATGCAGCCACTCAGATTTTTTTCTCTCTGGGTTTGGGCTTTGGATCACTCATAGCTTTTGCCAGCTACAACCAGTACAACAACAACATTGAGTTCCAGGCCATCATTGTCTCCCTCATCAACAGTGGAACTTCCATTTTTGCCAGCTTTGTCACCTTTGCTATCTATGGGTTTAAGGCCACTATCAACTATGAGAACTGCCTGGAGAGGTGTGTGTTTTGTGCTAATGTTTGTATGTTAAACCTGTGCATATGCCTGTGAATCTGCATGCAAGCACCTTTAAACTGTACACAAATACTGTGTATATGTATAGCCCAGAGCTGCAAGTACTTTTGTACTGTACTTACAGTACTTTTGTTTGTGTGTGAAGTTAAGGGTGGATAAAATGATTCCTGGAATTTTATTATTAAATTACAATTTAGAGATGACAGAGTCCTGGGACTTAAGCCAGTTGATCTGTGTTGGGACCACTGTGAACAGATTTAGTTTAGTTTAACTTTAGTTAAATAAGTAGCTTCATTGTTTGTTGTGCCCATTTCAAACAGCAGTTATGTATGAATCTTGGACCCTTTCATACAAGACTGCTGTCACCCTGCTTGTTATCAGAGACTTGCACTGAATTACATTTTCTGTCTTTGTCATTGATTTGGGTAAATGATGTTTAAATCATATCAGTGAATACTTTTCTGCTGACTGGTTTACACATAGACCCCTGATATCATGATTTTCTGATGTGATACTGAACTATACTGCCCAATGAAAATAAACAATGCAAGTGATGAAGGATATTGGAAGTGCTTCATACTCTGAGTGAAGGTCAGGATTATTGTATTTTATTTTTCATTCATTTCAACAGCCATTTTGTTTTTCTCTCCAGGACACGCTTACTGCTGCTGAATGCCTTCAATCTAGCAGAGGACAGTGTTACCATTGACAGTGTCTTTGAGTGGATTGAGAAGCTAAACACAACATATCCGCAGCAATTTGATATAATTGCCAACAAACTGGAAAACTGTGACCTGGAGAGTGAGCTAAACACTGTATGTTCCTCACCAGTACCCGTCTTACAGTGGTACACACTTAAAGAGCTATCGTTTACAGACAATTATTTCACATACAGTGTATGAGAGAAAAGCAAATAGAAATAACTAAATGTGAACATTGCAATAAATAATATAAGGTTGCCTAATTACTGGAGAAAATCCAGTGCTTGCTAAACTGTTTTTTGCATGTGAAAAAGAAAATTAAAACATTTATTGCTTCTAATAAAGAAGTACAGAGATAGACTAGACAGAACAAAAGAAGGACTGAACTAGACCAGGGGTTCCCAAACCTTTCCAGATCAAGACCCAAAAGAGAAATTTGGTCTCTCTCTGGGACCCAAATATACAACAATACATCATGATTTCCCACAACATCTGTATTTGTAAACTACCATTGATAAACACAACAAACCTTGAATTTAAAATATAGCCTATATGAAATATATAGTATTTATTTCATTGTAAAAGTATATATTGAGGTCATAGTTAAAGGTGGTGTTGTACTGGACGACATCCAGAATATATTATATAATCCTTCTCCTAACATACAAAGCCCTTAATGACAAGCCTCCATCATATCTTAAAGTCCATTACAACACCACCTGGGGGCAACTGTGGTTCAGTGGGTAGAGCAGTCATCTCCCAGCCGGAGGGTTGGAGGTTCGAATCACAGTGCCTGCATCCACATGTTGAAGTGTTCTTGAGTAAGGCACTGAAACCCCACGTTTCCCCCAATGGTTAGAACCATTGGTGTGAATTGGGGCCGCAGATGGCTGCCTTGGATCTGTACTGGAAACAAATTCCTTGTGTGTGCAACATGCTTGGCCAAATAAAGTTATTATCCTTATCCTTTGACTATGTAATAAACATATAATTGAATGTTTTAGGACAATTTAAAAACTGAAACATTTTGAGCATCATAAACACAGATGTTAAGGTGGAAGTCTTTCACTGACATGAATACAATTGTACAGGAGTACCTAATAAAGCGTATATACAATAGATGCTGCATTGGGGCTTTTGAGATGTGTCTCACCCACCGCCATATTGCCAGGGGTGGTCTGGCTGTTTTTGCCAGATTTAATAGTGGAGCATCATTGTGCTGCGTTTGGATGTTGTAATATAAAAAAATGCCATAACAAAACTACAGGGAATAACATTTCACATGTAAGAGGTTATCTTACAATATTTTATTTTTATAAATGTGATGAATTTGATGTGTTACAATAATTAAGTTCACTAGTCCTTTATATAGACTGCTGATACTAAATTAATCTCGCTAAAGATCAGCTCAAAAAAGTAATAAACCAGCAAAGCCAAGCAGACAGTGTATAACCTTTATGGATCATTTACAATGTGTTAACTTACACTATACATTTAAACTGTCCTGACCACATGGCCAGAATCCCCAACTTCATTGTTCACACTGTATGTTCACTCAGCGGGGCACGATGTGTGTGCTCACACTAGACATTTAAACAGAACCCTGGAACACATGTGTTCATTGACAACTCTAAAGGAAAAACAGTCTAACCTTTATCCATTTTACTTTTTACAGCTGATGAACAGCTGTAAAAAGTAAAAAGCTGATGAACAGTTGTAAAATCTGCTGTCAGTATTTCTCCTGTAGCTGCAGATCATGATGTTTTGATGAGACATTATGCAGTTTTGCACTGCCAGAGCTCGATTAGCCTCATCCATATACAGTTTATAAACATATTATATGCAGTCAATGGCGCCATTTCAGTTGATTCTCTCCTCAACATGTGCTATCTCTTCTGTGCCGTATTATTTTGTTGTCTTTGTACTAATGCAAGTGCACTGAACTAACTTCAGACCATGGATCTGCAACACAGCCGACCAGATTTCTGACATGCCAGAAATCCATTCCAGAGGTCAAGAGTCAGATCGCTGGTCAGCCGGGTCATAAAACTGGGATAAAACTACAACTGATCGGGCCGAAATTTGACCCAACTCAGAAAGTGGTTGGGCGTGACTGAATCTGGTGTAAAATCGTGCCAAATCTGTAGAGAGTCTGCTTGGCTCAAGACACTGGAAGTAATATTTTTCAATGGAATATATCACTATATGAGTTATTGTGTTAAGTAGCCTTAGATTGTCTAAATTAAACCGTTTCACGATGATAACATAACATATCACAACCCGTACCGAATCAGCACTGTTGCGGGTATTTAATGATCTTGTGTTGACTGTGGATGAATATTGCTATTCTGATTCTCTTAGATCTTTTGGCTGCTTTTGACACAGTAGACCATCGTATTTTGTTGTCCCGTCTGCAGCACTCTGTAGGACTTCATGGTGGTGTTCTTAAATGGTTTGAATCATCTTTGTCTGCTAGGAGTTTTTCTGTACATATTGACGAGTTCTCTTCTTCTGTTGTTCCTTTGAACTGTGGTGTTCCTCAGGGATCCATACTTGGGCCAGTCCTCTTTTCTTTGTATTTACTTTCCCTTGGATCGATTTTTATGAAATATGGGTTGTATTTTCATTGTTATGTGGATGATATTCAAATTTATTTGCCATTGAATGTCAAGAAGAGCAACTCATTTCAGACCTTGATGGACTGGCTGAGGGACATTAAGACTTGGTTATCATATAATTTCTTACATATTAATGAAAGTATAACAGAATGTGTTGTAATTGGTAACTCTGGTGTCACTGGTTCTGATATTCCTAGCTCTTTGGCCTCCTACCTGAGGCCTCATGTAAGAAATCTTGGGATGGTATTTGATGGTGCTCTTAAGCTGGACGAACAGATAAAATCTGTGGTTAAAGCTAGCTTCTTTCAATTGAGACTTCTGGCTAAGGTTAAACACTTTCTTTCTTTTAGTGATTTTGAAAAGGCAATTCATGCCTTTATTAGCACTAGACTAGATTATTGTAACGCACTGTATACTGGCATTTCTCAAGGCTTATTGTCCCGACTACAGTTGGTCCAAAATGCAGCAGCTCGTCTTTTAACTAAGTCACTCCAGTCCTGGCCTCTCTACATTGGCTTCCTGTTTGTTTTCGGATTGATTTTAAATTGTTGATGTTCGTCTATAAGGCTGTACATGGTCTAGCAGCTTCATATATTGCTGAGCTGATGCGTTTTTATACTCCAGAAAGGACACTTAGGTCTTCGAACCAGTTGTTCCTGGAAGTAGCGAAGTCCAGATGGAAACATTGGGGAGACTGAGCTTTTTCAGTTCGGGCTTTTGGGGAGACTAAGCTTTTTCAGTTCGGGCTCCTATACTGTGGAATGGTCTGCCACGGGAGATTAGATCTGCTCCGAACCTGTCTGTTTTTAAATCACTTCTTAAAACGCATCGCTGCACAGTGGAACGGTGCACCACCACTCCTGAGTCTGCTAAATCTTCCTGCAGGTTTTTTGCAGTCAAATGGGGGTTTTGATTTGTCTTTCTGACCAGCATACGAGCAGTTCTGTCCGAGAGTTTTCTTGGTCTTCCAGATCTCATCTTGACCTCCACAGTTCCCCTGATCTGCCATCTCTTAATTACATTTCTTACTGTGGAAACTGCAAGCTGACAACGCTTTGCTATCTTCTTGTAGCCTTCTCCTGCATTGTGGGCATCAATAACTTTCATTTTCAGGGTCTTACACAGCTGCTTAGAGGAACCCATGGTTGCTGGGTGTCCGCAAGTGTGTGCACAAGGTTTGAAGAGTCAAGGTATTTGTACAGCTTTGAAATTGGCATTTACCAATGACAGCTGTTGCTGTGCATCAGATCTAACGAGCTGATTAAGGTCTGATACCTTGTGAGAGACTTTGAGACTCTGGAACTCTTAGGGTGCCCAAACTTTTGCACCATGCCATAATAATGTTTTTATTTTTTATTTTTGTTCAATTTATGGCATAAGAAGTAACTATGCATCACTGTTTGCTGAAAATATTGTGCATTTTTTCCATTTCCAAGAGAAACTGTGTTAACATCTGTTCAAATAAAAAATCACCAAAATCTGTTATTTATCAAGGGGTGCCTAAACTTTTGCATAAGACTGTAAATAAATTTTGCTTGCTTCCTTGTCTCTGTATTGAAACCTTAAAAGCACACAGATTTGCATAAGGTGTGTATAGGTTCCAGAAAAGCACACCGAAAGACAAAGACAGGAGCAGTGAGGAGAAAGGATGCCGAGCCCAGTGACAGACAATGTGTTTGAAAGAAGTACTGTAGTTATCCCGTTAGCTTTAACATTTCCATACCATGTGTGCATACTCAGTGCCACTGGCAGATTGTATAGCTTATAAATGCAGCTGTGAGTCATTTCTTGCACACAACTGTAAGACTGCTTTATCAGAATATATAACTGTTAACCTGCAACTCTGCACAACCCTTCCAAAACATAACCTACTGTGTATAAAAAATGTATGTAAATAAAGTGAAATAAATTGAGGAAAATATGAACATTTCACTAGAAATGTAATGAAAAAAGACAATTGCGTAGCCGGCCAAAATATACATTTCATCTTTTACCTTTAGTGTTTGTTGTAATTATGTATTATGGCAGCAAGGTTACAATGCATGGGGTGGGCAGGATGGTTACTTTTTAATAATTACAAAGTGTATGTTCTATATTATAGAAATATTTTGTTACACTTCAAAAGATGACGTGTTTTGATATGAAAATCAGCATTTTTAATTTAACCAAACATCCTGTATCATAAATGCAGCTCTGAGGTTTGTAACAAACCAAACAGTTGTAAAATCAGCTGTAAATTCAGTGTGCTATGTTAATTTTAGTGTGGATAGACCTCCTGCCCTCATATACATACATGCATAGGAGGCACAGCCTCTCTCCTGGGAACATGGTGGCAACTTTGACATGTCAGTGTAATAGACAATGCGGCATCTAGTGTATATATCTATGGTTGGTGCTAATTAGCTGTGGGTTAGCATTGTCTTGTTCACCATTTTGAGTCAACAGTAAGGTGGTTCCACATTAACTTCTGATCAATGAATCTTAGTTTCAAACACTGCAAACTTTGGGAGAAATTTGTGGAAGTCTTCTGTTGCTGCTAACTCACTTCAGCTAATCCCAGTTACTGTAAATCAGTATAGTAATAGAAGTGTTAAAAAATATGGTTGTAGCCTTCTGTCTCTATTAAAAAATAACATTCCAGTGATTTACAAGCATCCAGTAGCACTGTCCATATTTTATTAGCAGAAAAAACAAGAATATCAGCAAAGAATGTAAGGAAAGAAAGAGCAAAGTGAAAAGCATGTGCATTGTCAGAAAGCAGGAAGTAGACCTTAAAGCCCATTTCAGTTCTCATTCCAGTCAAACTTTGTTTTCTCTCTTTCAGGCAGTAGAGGGAACAGGTCTGGCCTTCATTGTATACAGTGAGGCCATTAAGTACATGCCATTACCCCAGCTGTGGTCGGTATTGTACTTCATCATGCTTCTGCTGTTAGGATTGGGCAGCATGCTGGGCAACATCACTGCTATCATCACTCCGCTACAAGATTTCAAGGTTGCATCCCGCATGAGCAACGAGTTGTTTAGTGGTAAGATCCAGGCTAAAGAAAACTGAATATATATATAAAATCCCCACTTGCCCCACTTCGGAGCAGTCTTATTCCTTTCTTTCAGCTCGGGTCCTCTATGTCTGATTGGTGAAACACAGTCATGTGGTAGATCCACCAGCTGCATTTCTCTGGCAAAAATAAAGTATATATAATGTGTAGAATAAATGGTTAGAAAAGTAACGAGTTGAGTAGTCGAATGTAGCGGAGTAAGAGTAGCGTTTCTTGTGTCTAGAATGTAATACCAACTAAATTAATTTCAGACAAATCATCCCAATTTAAGTAATCATTTAATATTACAATTATTCTGAACAGGGTAGTAGTTAAATAGGTAAACTGGTAGTTAGGGAACAGAGAACAGAATCACTCCTCCTGCAATGCAATAGATACAGTATTAAATAAGAAGATTGTCACAGAGTCAGTCAGTCTTGGTCAGGGGTCTAGTCAGTCAGAGTCCCCTACCCAGGCCTGGGTCCCAAAGAGCACTGGTACTTTCACGGTAAACACTCTATTCCATTACATAATCCATATTAACATGTAAATTAAACCACTACAATACCGCACCTGATGTTGACTTGTGCAATTGGCTTGAAGTTGGCCTCTAGGGTTGTTTTCCACATTCCCATTGAGTTCTTGATGAAGGCTCTTAGGGTCCTGTTGATGTTGTACAGTTCCAAGCATTCCAGGATCCATGTGTGAGGCATTGAGTCATAGGCTTTCTTGTAGTCAATCCAGGCAGTGCACAGGTTGGTATGCCTAGTCTTGCAGTCTCGAGTGACTACTTTGTCAACCAGTAGCTGGTGCTTTGCTCCTCTGGTGTTACTACCAATACCTTTCTGGGCCCTGCTCATGTATTGAGCCATGTGCCTGCCCATCTTAGCTGCTATGATGCCTGACAGGAGCTTCCATGTTGTGCAGAGGCAGGTTATTGGGCGATAGTTAGATGATACTGCTCCCTTCTGAGGGTCCTTCAGGATCAGGACTGTCCAGCCTTAAGTTAACCACTCAGGGTGGGTTCCATCCATTAGTAGCTGGTTCATTTGTCCTGAACAGGTGCTCATAGAGTGAAGTTAGCTTCTTTAACCAGTAGGCGTAGATCATGTCAAGGCCTGGTACTGTTCAGCTTTTCATACGTGAGACCCTCTTTTGGTCTCAGTGTCAATGTCTGCCATTGTGATGATTATTGGGTCTTGTTCAGGGAGGTTGCTGTGGTCTGCTCTCAGGTCCACCAGCCACTGGGCATTGTTGTTATGTGATGCCTCCTTCTCCCCTATGCTCTTCCAGAATTCTTCAACCTCTGGGCTTGGTGGGTCTGCTCTCACGTTATGACCCTGCCTCTGTTAGGGTCTCTCTCAAGCCAGGGGGCAAGAGAGAGATAAGAAGGACCCAAACTGCAGTGTGACAGTTTAGACAAATAGAGAAAGTTTTATTAACACAACTAAAACAGGGGAAAACTGATGGTGGTAATGGCTAAGAGTCAGGAATGACAGTCCAGTTCACAGGGGAGCATGTGGAGACAGGCTGACCCAGTGGAGTGGTGCGAGGAAGAGGAGTTACTGGAGGTGGATAGTGGCGGCTGTGTCGAGCGGCGAGCGAGATGGTTGCTGTAGGAAGACTGGCCCAGAAGAGATGGTGCCAGCGTGGAGAGCTGCTGGTGGGTGATGACCGAGTCGAGTGGTGAGTGAGACGGTTGCTATAGGAAGGCTGGCCCAGATGGAATGGTGCCGGTGTAACAGGATCAGAGGTAACAAAGCAGGAGCTGCTGCATTGTAGCTTGCATGGTCATCAACGTCAACAAACCGGCGGAGACTGAGTGAGAACTTAGAGTTTAAGTATGCCAGCTCATAATCAGTGTGATTAGCCACAGTTGAGAGGATTCCAGAAATGGCGGTGTTTGCGGGAGAGGGGGAGAGAAACAGGGAGAGAGGCAGGGAGTGTATCGCAACCCTGACAGCCACTGAGAGTACACCCTGGATGGGGCACGGGGGAACATCTCCTGGCTTCAACTTCTCTGGTGTACCTCTTCAATCGGGTGGCCAGGGCTGTGAGCCTTTGCTTGGCAATCTCTAAGGCCTCGGGTATGTATAGTGTGGTGTACTTCTTAGGTACCCCTTTCTTCATCACACCTTTCTGTAATTCCAATAGCTGGCTAACTTCTCTCCTTGTTGCCTTGATCTTGGTCTCCAACCTCCTTCTCCATGGAGGATACTGCTCCTTGTGGCCTTTGTTGAACTTATAGCCTAGCATCTCAAGTATCAAAGTTGCTGTGGTGTATATGAGCTTGTTGTCACTATTTATATTCATGTCTGCTTCCTAGTGCAGCATATAATATGTTGCTATGCAGAGAATGTTAAAACCTAAATTGTAAATTAGAGTATCAGTGACTGAGTGCTGTATTTTGCTTGCAGGATTAGTGTGTTTATTTTGTCTGCTGCTTGGCTTGGGCTTCACCACCTCATCGGGGAATTACTGGTTCACCATGTTCAATGATTACGGAGCCACTTTGTCCCTACTGGTTGTTGTTCTCATTGAGGTCATAACAGTCAGTTACATCTACGGAATTAAAAGGTTCGTGTATTTGTGTGCAGTACCGTAGTACCTGCATTTATATGCCTTCACTTTAGCTTTTGTTTTGGCTGTTTAGTGGCTAGTGTGTAAGTATATCAAGAAGCAATGCCTTTTCAAACATTGTAAAATATTACATTATCTGCTCGCTTTAGGTTTGAAAAAGACATAGAAGACATGCTCGGTCATCGTCCCAACTGGTACTGGAAGATCATGTGGGCAGGAACCAGTCCCCTTCTCCTTATTGTTCTCCTCATCTCCTACATCATCAACTATATCCAGGGAGGGGCACCAACATACCAAGCATGGAACATAGAGCTGGTTAGTGTTGGCTTCATTTCTTCTCCATTATGATGTATTGTACATGTAGGTTTTCAGTCTCCAAGCTGGTGCAAACGTATGCATACATAGGGTTAAACTTGGCTATAGCCATCCAGAGCTAAGTTCCACTTCCTGATGTCCAAATCACAGTCACTCTGCATTGTCTTGTCGTGGCTCGAGTGTGATATCAACTAAATTAATTCAGACGAACCGTCCCAATTTAAAGGATCATTTAATATTACAATTATTCTGAATAGAGTAGTATTTAAACACATAATCTTGTAGTTAGGGAACAGAGAACAGAGATCAGAGAACAGAGACTCTCCTCTTGCAATGGAATAGATAAAGCATAAGAAGATTGTCAGAGCACCAGTCAGTCAAGTAATTTGATGCCGGTCCCGAGTCAGTTCCCCTGTCAACCCCCAGTCAGTCGTCGTTTCCCCCCGGGCCTCCGAGGCTGGGCTTGTGGTACACTGTTCATGGTAGCATGGTCATCCTGTCTCCCCCTTCTTCTGCTCTAACCCAGCTTTTTA